TCGATGGGTCTCGTACAGACTGTGGCGATGTAAAGTCTGTGTCACTCGTGCGTTTCTGTCTTTGTCTCCTGTGTCTTCTGCAGCTGATGCTTTGTAGCTGGGCTGTGTGTGCCACGTTGTTGGGTACGGAAGTATTCAGAAGTGTCACATCTTCTGTGAATCGGCACTTTTAGCCTTAAAAAATGTCTGCCGTTGTCCAGTGGGCTTGAGCTCTGCTGTGTCCTGAGTTAGGACCATCATTCACCCCGCTCTCTGCACTTCCCTCACCAGAGAGAATCTCTGTCCCTGCTTTGGTCTTATACTTCCTGATTTTAGGTGTGGCTCACATCTATAGCACGTGCCTACGTCTTGTTTTCTGAGCCGAATCGAAAAGCTTTCCCTCTATTAGGTGAACTGAGCCCATTCGCCTTCTTCTGATATGATCAACACGCTTGGTCTCTTCTGTCTCACAGTGTTTTATAACTATGCCTATTTCTTACGTTTGCTATGATTCTCTTCCTCTGAAGTGCATATTCTTTGCTCTTTAAAATGTTTGTATTTAGGAAGGCTTACGGTTGTATTCTGGTGGTTATTTTTGCACATAAACCTTGTTAAATGTCCCCTGGTTTTTCTTAGCTGTTCAGCTTCTTAGTTCCCATAGGGCTTGAGCCCCGCCCACTTTCTCGCAGCAGCCAGTGCACATGCCCCTTGCTCTCCACCCTCCCGCCGGGCCCCTCCTCAGCTTCAGTAAGCGGTGTGGTTTCCTTACAAGTGCTTCTGCCCGGCCCAGCACTGCGCGTGTCCCTGCCCACTCCTGGCTTGGATGACGACTGCACTGTGGCTCAGCCCGCGGAGGCCTCCATGCAGAATCCCCGACACTTGCATGTTGCAAAAGGTCTTTCTGTGGCTTCGATAGGGAGGATGGTCTGGCTTGGATATAAGATCCTTGGCTCGCACTTTCTTTCAGTCCTTCTGTGAATGAGCGTCCGTGGTCATCCTGCTTTGGAAGCTGGTTTTGAAAAGCCCCGATGCCAGGCTGATTCACTTGCCTTTGTCATTTATTGTCTCTTTTACACGAGGCCTTGTCTTGATCTTTGAAAACTAGCAATTTCACGAGGAGATGTCAGAGTCGGTTTTCATGGGAACTTTCAGTGTGTAGATTTGGTCTTTCTGGTTCCTGGACTCTGGCTTCCGTGTCTGTTGTGTTCTGTCTGCTTCCTTCTTCGGAGGCTCTGTTAACACAGGCCTTTGCTTGCCCGCCACCTGCCCTTCCCCAGACCTTCCGTGGCTGCGCCCCTCACGAGCCTGCCTTTCCTCACGGGTCTGCCCTCGGTGCCTTGCAGTTAATTCATGCACTTCTGAGAGATCTCTGTGTCTCCTTCCCATTTTTTTCTTGCATTTACTCCACTCTCATCCCTTCTGTTTTTTAATCTACTTCTCTTAACGTTAGGGATTTTTCATTCAGGGCACTTCTCATGTCCTCAAATGTTTCAGGACATCTTTTGGTTGTTGGAAGTGTTGTCTTAATGGTTTTTTTTGTTTTTCCAGACAGTCTCCGGTGTGCGTGGAATTCTGTTTCCTGATTTTTGCGGTAGATCTTGACGGACTTGCTAATCTTGGGTCACCTTTGCCAGGTTTGGGTGTCTCATCAGACTTGCGGTCTGATGGCGCCCTCTTCTGACCGCGCTGAGCAGTCGGGTAGTGTGGCCGGTTTTCTGTTTGCATTGCTTGTAGGAGGGTCCTGGAGGGTCCTGTGTCCTTTGGCGGTGACGTCCCGGTCTTGCAGGAGCCTCAGTGTCCCTTTAGTTCCTTCCCTTGTCGGAGGCTCTGTGTTCTGAGGACTCTGGACGCTAGACTGGGGTGGACCGGCCATTCTGGGTGGCCTCTGTCAGACCGCGGCCCCTTGCTGTCTCCATCCTCTGCCTTTGCCACGTCACCTTGTGGGTTCAGGAGGACCTGCCAGGTGTTCTCATCTGGAGTCTTTCAGGAGCGGGGCGCTCCGTGCCGCCACGTCTGCCGATGGAGCGATGCCTGGGTAGATTGGTGCCTTCTTGTTCTGAGTTGGTTTTGGGGAGACGGAGGGAGGTGACGGGGTGACTGAGTGGTATGTATCCTCCTGAGGAGAGTACCTGCGTGTCTTTGCTGCCGCGTGTACTCCCGGCCGCCTGTCTCTACCGGGTGCTCTGTTGCGTGGACAGGGAAGGCGCAGAGACGGGTGCAGGCGAGTTGGGGAACTGAGGGGAGCAGGGCGAGCCGGTCGGAGGCTGTGCCATTGGGTTCGCTGGAACCGGTTCGGCCCAGGCTCCTGGCTGTCCAGCTGAACGCGGGGCGGGGGCGCAGCCTTGAGGGGCCCCTTGCTCGGGAGCCGCTTGGCCGCGCTTCTGGGGGCCCGTGAGTGCAGGGCTCTTGGCTGCTGTGGCCCCGAGGTGGACATTTCCCTGAGACCGTGCCCAAGGGCCCGTGCCACCGGGGCTCACGTGTCGGCACGCATGGCGAGCACCCAGCCACGCCGGGGGCTTCTCTCCCTGTGAGCATTGGCCCCCAACTGAGGTGGCCCCATGAGCCGGGATTTGGACGGAAAGTGGGGTTTTTCCCATTCGGTTTTACATCAGGTGCTCATCGCCTGTCAGATCGATTGTGGCATTTTGCCAATGGCAAGGTTGCCTTCAAAAGAAATAGCTCTTTTTTTTGTCTTGGACCAGTCCCGTGACCAGGCTGACAGGTGTGCGACGTGCCGTTTTCAGGGGAGGACCTGCTGTGTGCCAGCGATACATCCAGGGTCGCCTTGCTCTTAGCCCAGCGCCTGCAGAGCCTGCAGAGACCGGGCAAGGCAGCCCTTTGATGGGGTGTGGGCGTCACCGCTCCCCCTGGGGGCCATCCCCGCCCCCACCGGTTGTTCCGGGATTCTGGGCTGGGCGCGGTGTCGGTAGGCTGGGTGGTCACGGCCGTCCTCTCTCCCGGGCTCCGGGCTCCTGTGACCCCTCCCGCAGCCAGAATACCCGACGAGCAGCATGACCAGGACCCTGGAGGGAGGACGGTGAACTGCGTCCTTCCGTTTTGGCATGAGATGGGGAAACGGTGCTCAGCCCGTGTAATTAGAAGTAATGTGAGTATTAAGTAGGAGGATATCTTTGAACATCGGCTTTTTACAACATCCATAGAAACACCAGGAAGTGAAGTGTCTCGCTGGCCCTCAGAGCGTGCCGCCTGCACCTGGGGGCGGCACTCCACCGGCTCACTTGCCCGTTAACGCTTTGAGACCAGTTGTGGTTTCTAAGAAATATTGGAATAATATCGCAAGTATTATTTGTCTTGAGTTCTGACCCGGTAATTTCCACCTGAAGTGGGGGCCCTGTCCTACCTGTTTTTGGCTGTTGGCTTTCTGTTTGGAGAGTAGAAACATCAGACATGGTCCAGAATTGGTCACGCGTGTTGCAGAGATGTTTCGGTCCGTTACGTAGGTAGTGCCTTTGCTCTCTGCATGGCTGCGCCTGTCCCCGTGAGTCTTGGCGTCTGCAGGGGAGGTGCAGAGGGCAGGCCACCGTCCGCGGGCAGCTGTCTTTCCAGAAACTGGCCCCTGCTTGGGCGTGCTGGGCTCTCCCCATGGTGTCTGGGGTGCAGAGCGGCGGGCCCCCGACGGGCCCCCGGGCTCCTGCTGCTCCAACGTCATCACAAGCCTCTGCAGGGGCGGGGGGGGGCGGCGCGGTGTGTGTCTTGCACAAAATGCTCCTTTAGGGCTGTTACCGAGGCTCAGGAAGGCATGGAGAAACCAGAATTGTTCTTCCAAACAAGGAAAAGTAGCTGCCACGCAACCTGGCCTGGAGGAGGGACCTCGGCCGTGAAGGGTGGTGGAGGGGGTGCAAATTGTAATTGAGGTCAAAGATGGGTGCGTGTGCACAGGGACTCCCCTGGGGGAAAGGGCTCAGGTGGCAGAGGGACCTGGTGCCCGGAGCGTGCGTGGGCCTCGCCCGCCACCTGCTGGCCGGCTCCCGGAACTGCGGCCTGGTCAGGGCAGGGCTCTTCTTCAGCTGTCGGGGAACCCTTTCCTCCCACCTTCCTAAGCTGTGAGAACATGCGGTAAAAATACCCTGTGTTATGTTTGCACTTGAAATATGCACGAGCAACTTTAACCATCAGAACACAGATGCTTAGTTTTCATTCTGAACGGAGAACCAGGCACCACGCAGTTGGGAGTTGTGTGGTCGGACCGAGATGCGGTGCTGGAACCCCAGGACCCAACACGACGCATCCGGGAACACCGCCCCCAGTGACTCCTTGTCCACGTGCAGGCGTCAGAGACTCGCAGAAGCTCGGCTGTTCCCCAGCGGTGCAGGCCCTGAGCCCAGTTGCTGCTGTCGGCCCGGAGGTGGCAGTGTCCCGCTGAGACTGGCTGGGAGCAGGGTGCCCCCTGTTGGCCGCGGACGACCGCGGTGACCCCAGAGCTCTGCGGTCCAGCCCGCTAACCGCCCGCCCAGCCTGGGAGTTTAGACTTTGCGGCATTGGGAAAGTGCCTTTGCCGGCGACATGGGGACGACACGATTGCCCCGGGTGTGGCATCGGTCCCACCTGGCCGCCTGGACACATGGAGGTCGGGGACACCAGCTTCAAGCCCAGGAGCTGTCTTGCCATCCCCCTGGGGCAGGAGCCTCCGCCTGTGCCTTCTGCAGGCCCCGAGGGCCGGAGTCTGAGCCCTGGGAATTGCAGGGCTTAGTGCCCATATGGGTGCTTGAGACCACCGGTCCCGGAGGTCAGCGTGGGGGCCGTGCCCCCTGCTCGCACCCCCTCCCTGTTAGGGACCCGTAAAGCACTTCAGCTCCAGGAGCAGGTCTGCAGGAAGGAGCCTGTCCCACACGTGGCTTCCTCCAGCTTCAGGGCTCCTTGGCACACCTGTAGGGAAACTCGAGTGGCTGCGGGCACGTAGCCCTGGGGCCAGCACCTGGCCCTGCCCCTTCCTGCCAGCGCCTTGGGTCCCGCCCACCCGTGCACACCACTAACTCGGCTGTCTTCTTTCTCGTCACCAGGGGTCGGGCCCAGGCTCGGCGGTCCCAGGCAGCTCCGGCGTCGGAACCCCCAGACAGTTCACGCGACAAAGGATCACGCGGGTCAACCTCAGGGACCTCATATTTTGTTTAGAGAATGAGCGTGAGACAAGCCATTCACTGTTGCTCTACAAAGCATTCCTCAAGTAGCACAGGGCGGGCGCGGCGTCGCGGATGGAGACGCCTGGGACGCTTTTATATATTTGCAGATGACGCCTTTTGTAACAAGCAAATGGGATATTGTTTAAAAAACAGCCACCTCTTTACAACGGAACAGTTTTATATTCCTGTTTCTAAGTCAACTCTTCAGTGCGGAAGAAAACACGTTTCTGTAACAGAGAACACAGAGGCCCGTGGGCCCTCTTAAAGGACAATTAACTCTTAACTCATCTTTGATTGAGTGGCCTTCTTGCCAAACAAGCCATATATAAAAACTGATGGAATCGTTTAGCAAATAATTAGTTGCCCTCTGTCACCTCGTAGCGGTTTCTACATTATTTGTGCGTTTTGGTTCATTCAACCCGACTTACTGCGTAGGTGTGTGTCTACAGCGATGACCTCATTTCATTTATTTTATTTTTGTATTAGTCAGTTGGCAAAGCAAACTGATTTTTTAGACTATTTATCTGCCCGTCCCCTCCCTCGCCAGAGTCCCCGAGGAGCCCGGAGCCCACGGCGCGCCCGCGCGGAGCGGAGCCACCTTCCTGCTCAGGAGAGGCTGTGCCGCCGGCTCCTCCCGAGCGCGTGGTCGGCACCTGTACAGACGCAGTTTATTTGCTGTAGTTTGTAAAGCTGTAAAGTTAAAAGAAATGAAAACCTTTTCAGCATAAATATATTTTACTTGCACTGTGTTTTTTAGCTAAAAGTGGAAACTTAGATGAAATAAAATCAAAGTTGAGAAGAATCATCAAAAGACTGTTTCTCAGTGTGAATCAAGTGTTGAAAAATGGTTGGTGTATTTTGTCAGTAATTGTACATAATTTTTGGCACATAACATAAAAATGGCTATGTAAACTATAATTATTTTGCTAAGAGACTGTAAGCAAGCTGTGGGCCGACTTCGCAGATGTCCAGAGCAAAGCCCCTTCTTTGTACCTATTTTTTTATTACAAATATACTAATTGGTTCTTTATATTTTCAGAGGTTATTGTATTAAATTGTCTATTGATAGTACTTTTATGACTGTAAATACTTGGGCTTTCTCCGTGTGAATCCTCACGTCAGACTTTAATTCGCGCGAGTGTGAACCGAATGCTGATCAGTATTTTTTATCGACGCCCGAAAACTGTTACGCCTTTTATTTTGTCTTTTAGGAAATCCCTGTCTTTCCATTTTTTCATGTAAATTTTGCACAGTTACTTGTTCATATGTAAATATTTTACTTTCAAAAATGAAGTTTTTAATTGCTATTGTTTTATATAGGATTGAAAGAAAATTAACTCCTTTATTAAAAACAAATTTATCTGTATCTGTTTTGCCCGTTTTTCCCGGTTTTCCAGTTTTAGATCTGCCGCCAGAGACTCCGCTCTGGTTCCGCTGAGGTGTTTGTTTAGGGGCTCCTTGTTAGCATCAGTGTGTAAACCCCAGCCACTCTGGGAGGAATAGCCTGACCTCCGCAGACGGGACCTCCGCGCTGCAGAGTGAGGCCTGGCAGGAGGGCCCGAAGCCGAGTTGCCTCCCCGCGTGCTCGGGCCGTCCGGGCCACCCCGCCTGCCTTCCGTTGCCGGACCGCCCCACCTTGACACAGGTATGGTGGGCACCTGTCCTCGCAGCTGGGCACCTTGGGGAGAGGCGAGGTGAGGCCCTCGTGGGCCCGGGGGGGGGGGGGGTTCTGAGCACAGACTCGTGCCCTGGAGAGCCCGGTGCGGACACAGAGTGGCGGAGCCGGATGGGGTCTCCAGGACGCCCGCCTCCTTTCTGCCAGCCAGCGTGGTGGACCGGCCAGCGCCCTGCCTCCCGAGCGCTGCTGGAGCCGGCCGTGGCGCACTCGGGGCTGGCGCCCAGTTTTCACGTTGATTGTAACTAGTCTGACGACACGCAGCGACGTGTGGGCTTCCGTACAAGTTACGCTGGAGAACACTGCTCGCGTCGGGGTGCCCGTTCCGTGGTCTCCGGGGGTTGTCAGCCGTGTCCCCGAGGCCTGTGTCCCCGTTCTGGAGGCCAGAAACGTGAGGTCAGGGTTTGGCAGGGTTGGGGTTCCCCCGAGGCCGCGAGGGAGTCCGTGCCAGGGCTCTCGCCCAGCTCTGGTCGTTGCTGGCACCTTGGCCGCAACGTTTGTGTGGCGGTTTCTCTGTGCGTGTCCCTCTTCGTGTCTGAATCGCCCCTTGCCACGGGACCACGAGTGACCTCATTTTAACTTGACCTCCGTAAAGACCCTGCCTCCAAGTAAGGTCATGTTCTGAGGTGCCGGGGGTTAGCCTCCACTGACCTCTCTTGGGGGGACACACTTGCCTGTCACACCTGGGGTGGCCGAGGACAGAGCCCGTGCAGGAAGCGCTTTCAGGGTTTCTAAGTCTCCCGCCCACGGGAACAGGCCCGAGGTGACTTAGCGGGCAGGTCGCACTGGTGCTTTCTAACCACGACCTCTTTGTTTTCGTGAAGCTGTTGGCCTGAAATAAATCCGGTCAGTCGGTAGAGGACGGTCGTGCTCAGATTTCTGTGGGTGTAACTGACTTCCAGCTTGTCTGCACATCCTACCGGGTCGGGGACGGTCGCAGCCACAGCCGCGACGCCAGCAGGAGGCCGCGCACGGCCGAGGTGCTGCCGGCAGCCACGAGGCACGGGCCTGCCTGTCATTTTCCGGTGGCTGTGGGTCGGCGCCCACCATGACCCGTTGCTAGTTGCCCGAGGTCGGGTTTGGGTACGTGGGCGGGCTCGAGGGCAGAGGGCCGGCTGGCGGCGTCTGGGACGCCGGCTCTCACCGCTCCGCTGCAGCAGAAAGGCAGGAAAAGGAAGTCAGGCATCACGTTCGGAAAGGAGGAAGACGGAGGAAGAATCCCAGATGGCGCCATTGTGCGCACGCACAAGACTCGGGCACACGCTGCCCAGATTCGGATTTGGTGAGATTGTAGGAGGGGGGTCAGTGTCCTAAGTGAACCGTGATTCTGCGTCCCAGCAACCCGCGGCCACCAACGACACGACCAAGGTCAGGATACCTAGGGATGCATGCAAGGAACTACAGGGGAGACCCTCGCACCCAGGCGAGAGAGACGAAAGCTGGTCTGAGTGGAGAAGGTGCCACGTTTACGGAGCGGACGGGGTGTTGCGGGGAGGGCGGTGCTGCCGCGCTCAGAGCCCCAGCAGATGGTCTGCCACGGGACCGTCTGAGTCTGGAGACCCGTACGGAGCTGTAGATGACCTGGAATAGCCAAGGCGGCCTAGAGCGGAATCAAAATGCTCACGCTCCCAGGTTTCAAGACTTGGCGTAAAGCCGTGCTAATCGAGCCGGGGTGGTATTGGCGTGTGCGGGCAGACCCGGTCAGCGAACACCACAGAGTCCGGAAGTGGATCCGCGTGTTACAGCCACTGGGTTTTGGACAAAGACACCAACGCAGCGAAGGGAGGCCGGACGTTAGTGCAACTGGGGGCCTGAGGGCGGAGGGCGAGTCTTGACCCCGTCCTCACGCACACGCAGCCTCATTTGAGATGGACCGCGGGCCTGAATGTGGAAGCTGAGACTCCAGGTCTTCTAGAAGACTGGAGTGGGCAAGGACCCTTATGGACACGGAAGGCACAAGCCATAAAGAGAAAAGCGGCAAAGCGCACTTAAGTTCTGCCTGTCAGAAGATGCCCAGTGAAGGCAGACGGGAGGCCATAGGCCGGGAGAGAGTGTGCACGGGGTGTAAACCCGATAGCAACCCGCATGCAAAGCGTGTAAAGAGTTCCACAGCTCAGTAAAAAATGTCGGAGACGCTTGAATGGGTCCTTTATGAAAGACCTACAGGTGGCCGATGAGTGAAAGAAAAGTTGCCCATCATGACTGGTCATCAGAGAAATGGAAACCAAAACCATGGCGAGACCCGCCACACAGCCCACCGTGGTGGCTCAGACTGAAAGAGGCTGACACGAGGCCCCCCGGGGCCTCAGTCGGTTGAGCGTCGGAGACTTTGGCCAGGTCATGATCTCGCGGTTCGTGGGTTCGAGCCCTGCGTCGGGCTCTGTGCTGACAGCTTGGAGCCTGGATCTTGCTTTGGATTCTGTGTCTCCCTCTCTCTCTCTGCCCCTCCCCTGCTTGCATTCTCACTCTCTCAAAAATAAATGAACGTTAAACAAATTAAACAAACAAACAAACAAATGGAGTGGGGTGTCTGGGTGGCTCAGTCGGTTAAGCATCCGACTTCACAGTTCGTGAGTTCAAGCCCCGTGTAGGGCTCTGTACTGATGGCTCAGAGCCTGGAGCCTGCTTTGGATTCTGTGTCTCCTTCTCTCTCTGCCCCTCCCCCATCCACGCTCTGTCTCTGTCTCTCTCAAAAATGAATAAACGTTAAAAAAAGTTTTTTTAAAAAGAAAGAGGCTGACAGAATCACGTTGAGGGGCAGGACGCCGTTGTGAAACAGTCCAGCCACTTTGGAAAACCGTTGCCCTTTTCTTTTTTAATGTTTATTTTTGAGAGAGCGAGCGTGAGTGGGGGAGGGGCAGAGATGGGTGGACAGAGGCTGTGAAGCAGGCTCCATGCTGTGAGTGCAGAGCCCCACGCGGGGCTCGAAGTCACCAACTGCGAGATATGACCTGAGCCGAAATCAAGCGTCGGATGCTTATGTGACTGAGCCACAAATGGAGCGCGTGTCTCCCCGTGATCTCGCGGTTCCTGCCTCCGTCATATCTGTTTGAGAGAACTGAATGCCTTTGTCTGTCAGAGACCGAAGGCGAACGTTCATTGTGGCGCCGCTCGCTCATGGACTGAGGTGGAAACAAGCCGCCGTCCGTCAGGTGGTGAGTGGATCCCAACCGTAGTGTAATTGTCGATGCGATACTGCCCCGGAGGAAAGAGGGATAAACCGCTGATGCTCTCAGCAGTGGAGCTGAATCTCCAAAGAATCATGAAGAAAGAGGCCAGCCCCTCTGGTTCCATTTGTGGGAAGCTCAAGGCCAGGAGAATCCCGGAGGTGATAGGCATCCGTGTGGTTATCCCGGTGGCTGGCGCGAGGGGCACCAGGACCCTTTGGGCCGGTGGGAATGTTCTGTCTCCACCTGGGTAGCGGTCATGTAGGGGTGCACAGATGTAAACAGGCTGACAGGTGAGGTCTGTGCATTTTGACCCATGCAAAGTGCACCTCAGTGAAGCCTGGGGAAACCCCCCTGGGCCGGACCTCAGCTCCACCTGGACAGGTGACCTGGCCCCACGTGATCTGGTGCCGGATGAAGAGGAAGGTGTGTGGATGTCTCGGGACAGGTGACGACTTGTGATCTTGTGGTCGTCCATACTCATTGATCGACTAGTTGATCGTTAACTAGTTTATCCTTCTCTCAGACTGTGATCTCCAAATGTAAGTTTTATTTTAAAAAAAAAAGTCTACCCGGCCTCCCTCCGTCCCCGAGCTCAGAGCCCCAGCTTGCCCCGAACCTGAGCCTGCCCCTGCCCACCTCGCACAGCCGAGGCCGCCAGGCTGTTCTGGTCTCCTGCTGCGTCTGAGCTGCTTTGGGGACCCACCTGCCACCCGAAGCCTCTGTATCCTTCGTGCCTCGCATACAGCAAGCGCACCACCAGTGCACGCTCTCAGGGTGGAGGCTATGCAGTTAGAAAGACCACAGTCCGCGGGGAGCCTTTCCAAACCCTCCTGTTCCAGCGACCGGCTGGCAGCCTCGTCTGGGCCGTTCTGGGCCATGCCCAGGGCGCGTTTGCCCCAGGAAGACCAGCCCCAGGGAACTTGTCCCTTCTCCTTAAGAGATAAATGACGCCTATTTTCCAAGAATCTAATTGTCGGTGCAGGTTGCTTTATCAGGCTTTGTTGTAACTGCAGGATTTCTGTATTTTTGAGAATGGGCACCCACTTAACCTTTATTTCCTAAAACGTATTTAGCAAAGGGGAGCCTGGGTGGCTCAGGTCATGATCTCAAGGTTGGGGGGTTCACGGTTGGTGGGTTTGAACCCCACATAGAGGTCACTGCTGGGATTCTGTCTTCCTGTCTCCCTCCCTCTCTGACTGCCCCCCCCCGTGTCTCTCTCAAAAATAAATAAATATTAAAAAT